TTCATTTTGTGTTGAGAGCCCATGAGGGGATACCTAACTTTGAACATTTGTAAATATTGTATCCATGACCCGCCCAAACTTTATAAAGTTAAGTCTGTTTATTCCTTTTGAAGAGTTTTCTTGATCGGATTACATTTTAAAATTAAACCCAACAGCTGTAAATTAATTACATTAGAAAACTTGAAATGGTTTACTACGGCTCTAGGAAATGCTTGAGCCAATACTTCTGCAGACCACATAAATCTAACTGGCATAGAGCCCATGATGAAGCGGGAACTATGCATGAAAGTTATAAAAAAACTTCCACGAAGAAGATGCTTACGTAATACTAGAAGAACAATTTGACAAGGATATGACGAATAAATTTAATCAAGCCGCTGATGACAAATAATGAAGTTAGTCCAGACCATTTCAAAATGCCAAAGATTCCAGTTAAAGCAGATGACTTAAAAATGGTGGAAGCAATGTTTGCCAAATATTACAATTTTGTAATAATGCTTGAATAAGATTATCCTTTAGTTCGGAGAATGAATCTAAAAATATTTAGTTCAGATTTTTTTAAACCCTTCCCCTTATTAATTTGTTGTAAAAACAAGCTATAACGCTAACAAACTATGCTTTAAAAGTGTATTGGTCATATAAATGGCACATTCTATTGAATGCTATATTCAGAATAAGTCTTAGTAACATACCAGAATAACAGATAAATTACCATATTAAAACTAGGACAGTGGGAGTTTTAATAAAGAAACCAAACCATAAGATTCAATTATGTTTATTTGAAGAATCTGCACTCTAAATACAAACAGAAGATGTATGGTAACAAAGTATTTAAGTCGTTATTAATTCACACTTTTTTGTCTTGGTGTCTTATACAATTCAATACTACCTAAGTTTTATTAATGTTAAGTTTCTCAAGATCAAACTTTTGATGCAAAAGTAGGGAACATATTTTGTTTTTCACTAACATGAGGTGCCTGGTGTTGGATTTGAAACACAAGATCCTTCAAAGGACGGACAATTTGAAATGACAGGTTTGCTTATTTAATTATAGGTTGAGTGAGTGGGTTACCATCCTACTTTTCCTCTTAGTGTGAGGGCTACACACATGCATCGGAAAAGCAGGATTTTTCACATCGCTCACCTTTTTTTTATCCCTTTTTAAAAGCATTGTGGTTTTGTCTAAATGCAGCAAGGTGGAGAAGGCTTTGCTGGGGTTTTAATAGGGGATGACAAGGATATAATTGAGGGAGCATGGGCAGAGGGGACTTATAGGCTTTGTTGATGGTGATAAGGAAGATGATGCAGGCCGAGACAAAGAAGAAGTCTTGGAGGTAGAAGTAGAAGACACCGGAGGCTTCGTAGACGTTGGCATAGAGGTAAAATACTTGATGTTCCTCCAGTCAGCGCTTGGAGGAGTTTGGACTTCTTGACCCCAGCTACCGGTTTCATTGGTTTGGTGGATTTCCTTAGGCACAGTTCCATGGCAGATGATGCAGAAGAGGACGATGGCGATGATGTAGACCGGCTTCAAAGTCTCAGCAGGAGAAGAAGAAGATCCAGGCTCTGGCATGTCTTGGGGACAGAAGTTTCAATAGAAGTTGAAGATTTCTTCTTGATTTCCCCAGTCAAAGCCTGCAGAAGTATGGATCTTTTGGTCCCAGCCACTGGCTTCATGGGTTTGGTAATCTTCCTCATGCAGGGGTCCATGGCTTTTCTGCAGGATGACAACATAATGATGTTATTAGCTAATATTCTCTCACATATATACCCACCCTAAGTGGTGGGGATATGGATACAAGACAGAGTGGGGGAAAGAGTAACATAGCGTAAATAGTCTGTAGTTCTGAAAAACATGAATATGCTAAAAACCTATAGATTATAACCAGACAAACACATGCACAAACTCTTTGTGATAATTACCTGGAAATATCGGTCTACGCATTCCACTCTCTCTTCAAATGGGACGTTTAACACGTTCGCTACTCAGGGTGTCTACCAGATTTCTCAAATGGAATTCCCGACTTTTTCCCGACTTTTCATTACCATTTTTATATAAATCCCGACCAAAAACTCGGTCCCTTCTTCATGTTACTACACCTTTTTCCATCTCGCGGTCACGGTACCTTCGTCAACATATGTTGTCACTCGCGACGCAGCGAAATCACTGACGATCGAAACGAATCACATGCCGAGAAAATCCCGTATTAAATGTAAGGGTGTGTGAAGCAGCAAAAAATTTCAATTCAAAGCAACGATTCGATTTAAAAAAAATGTTGATGTAACTCGATTCAAAGCCATGGAATTTTTCTATTCATACTTGTCAGTGGAGTGAAATATATGTTTTCAATCATACATTAGAAGAACCAGTGTTTCTCAGTGTATGCTATGTACTTGGATGGCATCTGTATGGTAAGCAATGTCTCAGTGTATGCTATGTACTTGGATGGCAATAACCTGTATGGCTGAGCAATGTCTCAGTGTATGCCATGTACTTGGATGGCAATAACCTGTATGGCTAAGCAATGTCTCAGTGTATGCTATGTACTTGGATGGCAATAGCCTGTATGGCTAAGCAATGTCTCAGTGTATGCCATGTACATAGATGGTAATAACTTGTATGGCTAAGCTATGTCTCAGTGTATACCATGTACTTGGATGGCAATAACCTGTATGGCTAAGGAATGTCTCAGTGTATGCTATGTACTTGGATGGCAATAACCTGTATGGCTAAGCAATGTCTCAGTGTATGCTATGTACTTGGATGGCAATAACCTGTATGGTAAGCAATGTCTCAGTGTATGCCATGTACATGGATGGTACTAACTTGTATGGCTAAGCTATGTCTCAGTGTATGCCATGTACTTGGATGGCAATAACCTGTATGGCTAAGCAATGTCTCAGTGTATGCTATGTACTTGGATGGCAATAACCTGTATGGCTAAGCAATTTCTCAGTGTATGCTATGTACTTGGATGGAAATAACCTGTATGGTAAGCAATGTCTCAGTGTATGCCATGTACTTGGATGGCAATAACTTGTATGACTAAGCTATGTCTCAGTGTATGCCATGTACTTGGATGGCAATAACTTGTATGGCTAAGCTATGTCTCAGTATATGCCATGTACTTGGATGGCAATAACTTGTATGGCTAAGCTATGTCTCAGTGTATGCCATGTACTTGGATGGCAATAACTTGTATGGCTAAGCTATGTCTCAGTGTATGCCATGTACTTGGATGGCAATAACTTGTATGGCTAAGCTATGTCTCAGTGAATAACTTATATAATTAATGTCAATAATTTGAATAATGTCAATAAGTTGTATGGATACTGATAGTCAAAGTAACAGTATCAATGTAACAGTCAACTACGTATATGGATACTGATTCAATAACGTATGGACACTGATTCAAAAAGGTATTTGGATAATGATTCAATAATAACGTATATGGATACTGATTCAAAAACGTATTTAGATACTGATTCAAAACCGTATATGGATACTGATTCAATAACGTATATGTGATTCAAAAACGTATTTATGGATACTGATTCAATACCGTAAAGACCTATAGATACTGATTCCATAACGTATGGATACTGTTCAATAACGTATATAGATACTGATTCAATATCGTACGGATACGGATTCAATAACATATGGATACTGATTCAAAAACATATATGGATACTGATTCAATAACGTATATGGATACAGATTCAATAACGTATGGATACTGAATGCCCATGATTCAAATGGTTATTTTAATCATCACTAAAACGAATTGTAATTACAATGCATTTTCGATTCATCCCACACCCCTCAAATGTAATCCCGTCCCAATGATCAGGAATATAAGATCCAGAACATTTTTTTTAGGTTTTGGGACCCGTTCATCCCTAATTTTGAAAGGTTAGATTATTCCCGACATTCGGCCGAAATTCATGACTTTTTCACGACTTTTCCCGACCTTTCAAAATCCCCGACTTTTTCCCGAATTTCCCGGAATTCCCGACTGGTAGACACCCTGCAGTACTGCAATAGTACGAAATTTTCCATTCACATGGACCAGCGACGCACATATGCGACGGCCGGTTTCCACCCATAGACTGCTGTCGCATATATGCGACGGCTAGCCACATTAAAATAGACTGCCGACGCATATTTGCGTCGGGGTTCTAATGTTATTAAAATGCTTATATCTTTGTAGTGGTCTATTTGAAGACACTGAATACCCTGCAGTGGTCTACAGAGATGTCTGACGCACAACTGCGTCGCTTGGTCTGTGGATATGATGATTGGTGACGTCATATAATAGTTGGAAAAACTAGTCTTTACTTTTCTGCATCACTGTATGTATGTATGCAGTATGTATGCTGCATTATCCTATGTAGCTTTTAAATTTGTTCAGTTATAAACTGTTCTTGAATAATCTGATTATTTTTTACTTACTTTTACCTTAAAACACAAAAAATGAACTGTCGCATATATGCGACGTTTAGTCTATTTTAAGAAAACTGTGATAATTTTCACTATTGTCTTCGCTGTAGACCGGGCGTCGCAAATATGCGACATTACAAAAGGTTATAAAAAATACAAAGAAACAAGAATAATTTATTTACAAACACGATTGTAGCGTAGTAGCGAACGTGTTAAACAGTATACACGCCCGCAATGTGTGCATTCTGATCGTAAAACAGATGGACTACAGCTGCTTGGGGATGGTGGTGGTTCCTAAAAACGTAAAATGTATTATACATATGGGGAGAGGGAGAGAGGAATCACTACGTCACTTCAACCGGTAATATGTCTTTTTCCATTGACGCATTACATCCAGTCTGATGCCGTCACGGGATAATGGCCATGGAACCATCTACTGAAGGTTGAGAAATACAAAACAACTCTAGTCCTTAAAAGAAATATTTACTACTCCTTGGACAACAAAAACGGTAAACTAAAGTAAGTTGTACTCGTAGCAGCTAATTTAACAGCTTACTTGACACAGTAGGTTGTGTTTTGGGTCATGGTGTAGAGGTGATAGAGTTCCAGGTGGTCCAAACCAAGCGTTGATGTCCACTTCACCCTCCTCTTCACTGCAGGCGCAGTAGTCCGGAACAAATATATCCTTCCTCAACTCTGGTACCTGTTTGACAAAATTCAGAACTAGAAGCTTGTTGTAATTTGCTGCTATTGTAGTAACTTTATAATTGTTTGATAAGTGTATATTTAATACTGCAATCGAAAAAATTTTGAATAACTAATAAAAAAGGTTCTTATCTTAGTTCCACAAAGGCCTTCGTTTGTGTCAGATAGTTTTTTTGTCATAAACAATTGATAAATTATTGAAGCCTACAAAACTTTTTAAAAAAGCTTTCTTTGTGTTTTTCAAAGTGTTAGATAAAATTCCATCCGTGAGTGCTTCTGTATGGGCACCATTTTAGAACACACTTTTCCCATTTTGAAATGTTTTGTAATATTTGTTAATGTCATCCTTTGTGAATTTCGGCAGTCTGAACAGCCAAACGAATCTTGATGGATGAGATTGCCTAATTATTAAGTTTTGTCATTGTTTTTTGTCCTATTTTTTTATGTTTTGATGTTGAAGGAATCCTGAGTGTGTGGGTCTTTTTATATATCTTCTCCCTTCTTTGAACCGTTTATCCAACTCAAGAACCGTGTGCAATGAATGTGACAAGTAGGCCTATTGATCCCCATACACTTGTAGGAGAGAATAAGTCTCTGTACCGAGCTTCACAAAAAATGTCAGGTTGACCGTTAACCTGTTGCTCAGTTATACAATTTTTTCCAAGCTGCAAATACCTAATCTGACATGAATTAAAGCTGTGGCCTAACTAAGCGACCCACTGTCGTCAAACTGGAATGTGGAGTAGAAAGTTATACAGTTTGTCTCTAAGAAAGCCAGTCCTGTTACTTTACAGCCACACCTCGTATGAGTTGATGAGGCACATAATAGAATAAGGCTATGGCTTAAAATAAATAAATAAGTTGTCCTTTGTAAAAAATAGCATTAAAAAACAATATGTAATAGAAATAAAACTCAATACAACTTTAGCATGGGAACGGAGGTCACAGTGATGTCAAAGCATGGACTAACCTGGTCGAAAAGTTGATGTTGAGCCAGGTAGCCGATATCCTTGCTATCACTTGTCGGGTTGGTGATGTAGAGACTGATAAACTCTCTGAGAGTCATGAGACGCTGGGACCAGTCTGACTGTGCATAGTTAGAGCCTAGCTCCACAGGCACTGTGCGACTACCAGCAACAGTCAGTAGGTACTGCAGGTCTTCCCACAGCCTTAGTGCTGGCCAGTGAGTCATACAACCTACGGAATCATTCAAACAACTTTAGAATAGACGATTAGTAATTCATGACATTTAGGGAATATGGTCCCGTCAACAAGTGAGATAGTATTTAGTGCAAAATGAATAAGTACACAGACCCAGCCTAAAATGAAATACCCCCGCCTCAGCAAACCTGTAGACAAAGCAAATTTCCATTTGCCTGATTAGATTTGTTTAATGTCCTTAAACATATCTGATTTACTCCCCATTTAAATATCATTAGTTTTAATGACTTGATGCTACGGAGAAGGTAAAAGGGTTTTTGATCAAATTTAATGGTAGCCTACCGGATAAAGTAAATAAATTTGCCAAATTTTATAAAAATATATCCATAAACAAGAAAACAACAAGAGTTTTCTATTTCTCCATAAGAATAACATGTGAATTTGAACACAGCGATCGTCGAAATGACTTCCCCTCCTGCGTTCGCGGAACATCTCTCGCGATAGCGGCGTTATCATCACTCGCGAAGCGGCAAAATCGCCGACGATCGGACCAAATCCCGTCCCGAAACCTTCCCGAATCAAATGTAATCCCGTCCCGAAAATCGGGAATATTTTTTTCCCGAAATTTTTGGGTCCCGTCCATCCCTAACAAACACTTATGATTAGGAAGGCCGCACTGTGTCTGCACTGAATGCTAAATGTTGACTAATCGTACCTGCTCGACAGCTCCGTATTTATGGACTCTCGGATTGGGGGTGGGTGGGGTGGTAAGCGTCTTTTTCTAAGGTTTCCACTAAGGAAACAGACAAAGGTGTAGAATTTAATATCTTTGTTAACTAGTATTTGCTACTTGTGGTTGTCCAGTGGTCGAAAACTCAACCAAAAATGTGTAATGTAGGTAAAGAAACATGCTTGCCTATTAATATATAGATTCTATTTGTATTATTGAGTCGTGATCAGATTTGATATTAAAAAAACAAAAAAAGATTTCAAAAGATTCAGAATCAATATTGAGATCAATAACTTTGATTATAGTCTGCCTTCACTTTCCAAAAAGTATTTACAAGTTACTTTTTACATTCCTATATCACAAACACAGATCTCTTTGTTTTTCTTGTAGGAATGGGATAACTAGTGAAAGGCTTAATTCGTTTTATTCTGAAATACACCTACCTGAAATTTTAACTGGTTTACGAGGATAAAAATGCTGTGATGAAAATGTTTCGAGTGATGGGCTGTGAAGTATAGGGATTTCAACAGCTGGGACTTTCAGCTCAGGAGTGTTTCTATCCTTACTTGTTCTTGCACCGCTTACAGGAAGTTGAACTGAAACACATTGATTGTGATAACTTTATACAACACAAAACACACCGAACAAAAATTGTTTTCATGTAAAACTCTTTGAGTTAAGACTTTATAAAAGCTAACACTCCAAGAGTTAAATTAGAGATTCTTGTCATTTGCCTACTGGGGCTGATGATTGAATCTAATCAAACTCGATCACCACTCACAATTTTTAATATGTAGGGCCTACTAACCTTCTTGTGAGTTAACAGCATGAGTGCAAATATATTTTCACCAGTTATTAGACTATTTTATTACTTTCCGTGAATTTTATTTTACACTTTTCTAGGGCACTAAACGGCAAAAAAAGATTTATCAACTTACAAAATATTTACTAGTTTCAACCAAAACTTAGCTAAAATAGTTAGATAAAGCAAGTTGAGTCTCAGACTTTATATTGAAAAATTATACGCTAAGTACAATTTCACATTAGACCCGTCGGGCAAATGCAGAATTTGAATTCAAGCTCTGACAAAAATCAACATCAATTATATACCGTAGCCCTAACCAGAACTGACCCAAATCAAATGTGATGCAATTCCTCGAAAGAATCACATAAGTACAAATAAGGCCTGTTCTCTAAACACCTGTAATAGATAGCCAATAACGTTTACAGAATCTTAAGTAATTAATAATGATTAGTGTAGGCCTATATGCTACTCAAATTGTTTTTTTTTTTTTTTACGATAGTTAGCTTGATTTTGGGTACGCGTACTTACACTGCGTAACAGCTTCAGACAAGATTTTTGCAGCTTTAGTCAGCTGTTCTCTGTGTGAAATGCCCAGCAACAACCCCATGTCCGCTGTTTTGATAGCCTGTTGTAGCAAAGACGTCTGACAATCATCAGAAGACGTTATGGCTTGTTGCGCTAGTGCTATTACCTGGAACGTAAGTTAAAACTGATTACCACTAAAAGCTAATTGTTACATCAGTGACTGTTTACGATCCAAATCAATGTTCAAACTACTTCTGGGTTCAGGTTTCCTTGCCTTCTTACCTAATTACTTTTGATTTATACTCTCGATAATTTGTTAAATTGAGGGTCCAAGCAAATAAATTTGAATTATGAAGAGGTTTGATTTAAATTAAAAAGAGTTAATTTATTTTTTAATATAGTAACTTACCATATTATGTAAGGTAGGCCTATAGAACATTACAAGTTTGAACGTAATCATCCGTGAATGAATTAAATGAGAAATGAATTAAAGCAATTCGCTATGGCAATCAATATACTATAACGTTATCCTCCATGAGGAAATACAATGAGAAGAGGGCATCCTAGTGTTTTGGAGCTTGTTCTATAAATGGTAAAGCCGCACATGGATCCGTGTGTTGCTGCAATCAGTCCCGCTGCCAAGTTCAACCATATGGTTGGTATTACACCAGATTCAGAAAAACATTTTAATGGCTTTCTTCACTCAACCCTATTTTTGCTAACTCAACTACCTATAGCTTACTTTAACTTTGTCTGAAAATTTCACATACTAGGAAACATTCTTTTCCTGCTGACAGGGCAATTTAGAAATAGGCCTAACGCAATCAAACTTAGTAACTGCAAGTAAAAAAGTAAACACTTGCCTTTAGCAGACTTGTGACGGAGTAAATGGCTCGCTGAAAGTCAGGCACCAAACTCCAATGTCCAGTGTTTAGTTCTTCCCAGGTGACATCCAGTACTACTTGAAGAGTATCCACACACTCCCCGTACCTGGTGCAAGTCAATAAGTTGTAAATTACTTCTACTTCAATGTCACTAGACTAACAATTTTATAAAGGCCCTAGGCCCAAGCTATATTTATCGAGTTGGGAACATTCAATTGAGATTTTTCACTAATGCTGATTTTCATATACCTACTAGTTTGAACTAATCAGATTTTTGGAAAGTGGGACTAAATTCATTATTTTCTGCTAAGTTAGCCAGTATCACTGGCCTTCTCGTGTTTGTAAATTGCATAATTGTTTTGAAATCATTTGCCTCTGCTGTTTGTGTAGCCAGTACTAATTGACAATTTTTCTACACACCAGCTCAGCAGCCATCATGGTTTCTCCCCAGCAGCTTAGAAATATTTTTGTTATAAAGTTGTTTCCTTGAGTATTACTACTAATCAGATGTAAAAACAGACAATAAACATTTTGTGAGAAAATAAAATATTTTGGTTTACAGGCTGCTATATTTTTCGGATGAAGTGCTTTATGGTCTCGGCCTGCCCCTGTTAGATAAAAAACCTGACACTGACGGTAGCTATGTCGCCGTTCACCTAGGCTACACGGTGGAATGTTCAATAAAGTTCAGTTCTTCAGTTTTCTATATTTAATTATGCCATCAATCAGTGAGTTCATGTTGTTGCTAGCTCTTCAGCTAAAGAAAATAAGAAGGAAAAGAACAGTGCCTGTTCACCCTATTCTATCTGTGTCTCAAAGTTAAGAAGATATAAGCCTAGAAGAAAATAAACTAGGCCTACACTAAAGTGATTATAAAGGTAAAATCAAACCTTACTGACTAAGATAACTTAATTTAACTTAAGAATCGTCACACTGATTTATTGGTTGAGTATGTGCTTCCCAGGTGCACCCAGATAAGCGTGCATATATGCGAAACTAGGCACCGTAACTTAGTGTAACTGGCTCTCATATAACCAAATGTTATTTAAACAGTACACTTCCACAGCAAGGACCAGCCATGGTCTGGGTGTTCAGCCACTGTATAGTTGAGAACAGACACCGTGCCTGTGGCTGCTTTTTGCCCCCCCCCCCTGTCATTTTCGGCCACGCCACTTAACATTGTAGTGTAATACAATTCCATTTGATTCGATTCAGGAAAACACTTAAAAGCACTGAAATATAATTTGTTGTGTCCAATCCAAAACTTAAAACTACCGGTACCTCAGTTTTGAAAACCAGTCTAAAACTGTTTTCAAGTGAAATAAAAAAAATGTGAACAAAAATCTAGCTTGTTACCTATTAAGTTAACCTGAAAATTGAATTATTATTTAATTATTCATTATTGTTATTTAATTATCTACTAAGCCAACACGAAATTTGTCCTCTGAACTCCTCCGCCATTTCTCTCCCAATTTTTATTATTCGTCTCATTGGAAAGAGTGTGTCACGTAGATTTGCAAACTGACCTTAAATTTTTCAAAAAGTCCCTTGGGCTCTGGCACAGTAGCTTTTAAAAGTTCCCATGTTATCTATGAAGAACATAATTGTTTACATTATGATAATTTAATTGCTGTAAATATTTAAGCTGCAATTCAATGAAATGTGTGCTAAAAACATTTAATTTCACTGATTGTGTGATCATTGCATAGGAAAATACTCGCCTAATGAAACTGGTACGGCAAGGACATTCAATCGTTTTCCAGAAGTCAAGTGATTTTTTAAGAATATGATTACATCTAAAACCCCTTTAACTTACTAAAACTTTCATTGAAGAAATTATTATTCACAGTTAAGGGAAACAAAACCTAGATCTGAACAACATCAAGCCTTTTAAACCTGCATATCGGGTAAATACAATTGACATTATTACAGCAACAAACCAAAATAATGCCAGTTGAAGAAAATAAAATTGTGACGAACAGGTTATGCAAGAAAATCAGGTAGTTCTTAAGTAGCAATGTGAACATATTTTATCGCTATTTAAAAAATGACTGAAATTTGTAGACATACTGGTGACTATGGTGGTACCATGCAGGTAAGTAGGCCTACATATCAATGACGAGGATAAACATTGACAACCTTACCCGTTATGAGCAAGTCGGGAAACATTTGTAGAAAACACACAAAAAAACTATAGGCTATCAGCTTTTGTAAAAAGATAAAATAATTAAAAGAAACGTTGATTATATCAAACTGGTATTGACACGTTGAGTATTTCCATTAGGCACATAAACTTTGAGTTGACTTTTTTGAATCATCGGAAATTATGACTGTGTTATTCGTTTTCAAAATAACTCAGACTGTACTTATTACTTTGCAAATTACTCGAATGAGCAACATGTACTCTATCTAACTTAGTTCAATTATAAACTTATCTTAAATATTACACTATCTATTCATTAAGCAAGTGTGATTTACCTTTTGTTTTCCTCCAACTTTAGAGATTCCATCAATAAAAATTCAACATCAGGTGAAGTACCTTCTATAGCCTGTATTTCTTCCTTTTTTAAACAAATGCTCCTAACAAGGTTTAAGATCTTATCCTGGAGGTTTTCCATGGTTAAATCCTTTTCCGTTTGCGATTAAGTTTAGCACCTAAAACAAATTAATGCCCAAAAATTAGGTTGGAAAGATTTTGTAACCTATATGTACCAAAGGCAATCTAGGTCAAAGAAAATAGTAAATAAAAATACCCCCGCCGCAGCAAACCTGCAGACTAAGCGAATTTCCATTTGCCTGATTGGATTTACACTCAAATGTCTCCTTAAAAATATCACATTTATTCCCTATTTAAATCAAATCAGTTTAACACATACTTAGGTTTGCTGCAACAGGGAGGGTTAAAGTGTTTTTTTTATGTAAAATGTTAATAGTTAGTAAGAAATAAAAACATTTTCCAAATTTGGGCAAAATATGTTAATAAATAAGCAAACTACAACAGTTTACTTATCCTCCATAAGAATAACATGGGAATTTTAAATTTACAATTTTTTTTAATTTTCTCCGTAACCATTAGGCGCATTATAACGCTTCAATATACTAAATTATTTGTTTTTTTAAGCTCTACAAAATAGTTTGGAAAGAAATTGCAAAAATTTAAGTTTTTTGGGTCAAAAATGGGAAAAACCCATTTTTACCCCATAAACCCCCGTTCCCATGGTCCGATCATGCTGGTTCGCGAACTCGTTCGAATAAACGTAGGTTTACACGTTTGTACCAAATTTCATCAAAATCGGATTATTTTTGCTCGAGTTATCGCGCTAACGGACACATATATATATAAATATATATATATATAAATATATATATATAAATATATATATATATATATATGAATTTGAACGGATGCTATTTTTGGCCTCTAGGGACCTCAAAACGAAAAAAAAATCGGTCCCGGGTCCAGGTCTTACCATGAGTACTACGGTAATAGCTTATTCCCTATATGGGAAATTCGCTAAAAACGAGTGCTAAGCTTAAGCCATTGCAATTACGTCAGGCCTGCGGGTTTACCTAGCTGCCGAATAACTACAGCTGATTTTAAGACCAACAGGGTACAAAGGTTATTACTTAACTTAAAGGAAGCAGCTGGTATAGCCTAAGTTATTCCTAGCTGAAGAATTTGAAAGGGGCACATGCACTTAAACACTCACAACCGGCAGCAAGAAATAGGCTAACTGCCTTTAGGCAGTTAATTAGAAAAAGGCTTAAAAGAGCTAGGTACCTACGGTAAGTTATTTGTTAGGTTAAGTTATAAGCTTTTGGTTATATTTGAGTAAATATATTCAATCCTCAAATTCATTTTTAGCCCTAAAAATAAATTGCAAGTTAAGTTGATTGAAAAAAGCGAGTTAGGCCGGCTCTTTAGGTAAATAAATAACAAATAGGCCTAGCCATGAACATTGATACCGGTATTAGCAATAGGCCTACAATATTTTCAGAAGATAGGACAAGACATTCAGTAACTTATTTGGTTTACTTATTTTTAAGGTTTTGGATTCAATTAAAGTATTTTGATGCTGGATATAACCTAAAACCATGCCGGTACCAAGGCAAGGTAATTTTTTGGTTACTGACACATAACCTAAAATCGAAACAAAACCCCATGTGTGTTGTGTTGTGTGTAAGGATGACAGAAACATGCACTTCAATAATTTTTTAGTGTAATCAGAAATTTATCTACTAAATATTTCAAAGCTCAAACAATTCATTAACTTACTTTGAGTCCTCATAAGTGCACCACACGTGGAAGATCTTCGCAGTTTGAGTTTGCGATGCCGAGCAGCCGAAGCCGAGCCGACAGCCGAAGGGTTCGGTTGATTCTGTTCTGTTGTTCTGTTTGTTTCATTGTTTCGGGGTTGTGCTGGTTGTTGTCGATTTAATTGAATGTGATTGTGCAATTCACTGACATCGCAGCTGCACAGCACCACCACCGCCAGCCAACACTCAACAGCCAGCCGGCGAGTATTTGTCTTGTCAGCGGCCGGCGAAGTCGGACATTATTATTTTACTTTTGGTTTTGGTAGTACGAGGCAGCGGATCAATAGCAGTCACGTGATCACTCGCACTCGCTGGCGCCAGCCACCACACCAGCCCAGCGTAGTCTGACCACCAATCTCTAGAAGCGTGGCAGCGACGATGATCAATTCAACACGTTGTTGATGTGTGCTTATTTTGATTTAGTTATTCTGTTTATCGGGTTGTTTTCATCATAAAAATGGCTGAACTTAAGTGGTCGGGGAAACAAATTATAGATTTTTTAAATTTGTTCCAAGACTATCCGTGCTTGTGGGACGTTACTGCAAAGGATTATCTTAATAGGAGCGTAAAAGAAGCAGCATACAGTGAGTTGCTGCAAAACCTCGATGATGTTGGAATGCCTGCTACAGTTGAGCAGGTAAAAAAGAAGGTAAAAAGTTTAAGAGACACATACAGAAAGGAACTCAGCAAAATAAAGAAATCTCAAGAAAGTGATGCTGGTACAAGTAAAATTTACAAGCCAAAGCTTGTGTGGTTCTCGACAGCAGAAGTACTCTGGCATGGAGCTGTCACTGGCAGGGATTCCTCATCAACTATGGTAAGTAGGCCAAAATGAATTATTTTTTTGAAATTGGTTAGTTAATTTTACTACACCAATAACAAACACAGGGTAGACTTCCGTATCCGTTGGCACAAACAGCCGAACGAAAATATCGATTGGTCGATTATTTCATTCGATATATCGTTTGGTTAGATTAACCTTACCTAACTAACCTAACGATACGGTATATCGAAAAATCGATATATTGATCGATATTTTCATTCGGTTGTTTGTGCCAACAGATATTATGGAAGTCTACCCCAAACGTATCACATCAGTTAATGAATCTACAAAAACAAATTTATATGATTACTAAACTCCCAATAATTGTAAATTCACTATAATACAGACGAATCATTACTGGCAATAACACATACATGACTACACTTATATAATAATTCTACAAAAACAAATTTACATCTTTACATGATTCCTAATTTCAACTCACAATAATGATTAATAGGCCTATGTTATATTACAGAACCATTACAGTTAGGTATTAGAAATTATTTTTAAATTGTTTGGTTGCAGTTTTACTTTACTGAAATTAACAACTAATATTTAAGTATGTATTGTGCAAACTTCTTAATTTTCACCCCACAGTACAGTGTAAATAAAACATGTGATTGGAATTTTTCCATTTGTTTTGATTTTCTGTTTATATTTTGTCACCATCTGTGGCAACCGATGTAATTTTTTTTAAATTATTTCAAATTAATTTTGTGTGTTTATTTTTGAGCCTATTTTAATTAAAAAGGGAATCTGCACATCTACAGAAAAATATCTTTCATTTGGTACCAACCGCAATAATTCGGTCCAATAGTATGGTCAGGCTAGCTTTCATTAGTTTTGCAAAAGTGTTTTATAATAGTAGGGATATAAGACGAGAGCTCGCCCCGTGGTGGTCGAAAACTCGGCCACAAGTATGTACTGTGCAAACTGCATTATAATTTCAACCCACGCTATAAATAAAACATGTGATTGAAATTTCTTAAATTTGTTTTGATTTTCTGTTTATATCTTGTTGTCACCAACATGGCAATACATAAGGCCCATGTTAATTTTTTATTAAAAAAACTAATTTTTTGTGCTTAATTTTGAGCCTATTTTAATTTATTAAAAGATTCTGCACATCTACAGGAAAATATCTTTCATTTGGTACATTCGTTTGGTTCATTCGGTGAACATTCATTATAGGCTTTTACAAATAATTATAGGTTTTATGGTTTTACCCTTACGCTTACTAGTTCCATTGCAGGGTTTCAACTCACTCACTTATCTATTACTGTATAGAGTGAAAATTAAAAAATGCACGTTATCAAGAAAAGCACTTTATAATTTTTTTATCTAAAGGTTTCTTTTTTTATCTATTGACATTTAAAGTTTCATAAAATCTCCACGTTAACGCAATATATTTGGTATTTTGTTTATTGATATACCATCTTGAACGAAATTCCGTCACAAACACAACGCACGTTATTTTTATAACTATTTTTTGCTGTAAATACATTTAGTTTTAGGGTCATTTTGCAATAGACAGCTCACTAAGCCTTTGGTAAATTTGGTCTTTCTAAAAAAATTGCAAAAATAAAAAATCTCTTGAGGTTTGTATAACTCCAAACAAACGTTCCCGATATATGAAATATACCTTTATATTATGTTTTTTTACAGATGCGTCCTTCTTGTGTCTATAAAACATTAAAATATTATCATATATCAATTTTTTATATTTTTGATCATCCAAATCATGAACGATAATATATAACACCATATATATGTTATATTTAATATAACACCATATACATGTTATATTAAATATAACATATACGTATATATATATATATGTGTGTGTGCGTGTGTGTGTGTGTATATATATATATATATATTATATAAAACCATCTGCATGGTCAGGGACTACGGTCTGGAATTTTCAATTATCGAGAATCACTATATTGTTTATTTAGGTTTTCATTCCACTTCTCTTATTCTTACAATATTCCACAGGACTTGATGTGAATGTAAACTTGGTTCAAAATCTAATTTTTTATATCCTTCAATTAATTGTACTGTATTAGAGAGATTTGTGTTGCAATTAAACAAAATTGTAACATTTAAATTTATTTTCACGACCATAACACAGTACAATCGATAAAGCTATTTTGCTCGTGAAAAACCCCGTGATGGTCGTGAAATCACGAATTATTTAGCTCTGTTCTGGTGGTAGCCATACAACTCATTTTTGAGGAGACAAATTGGGTTTCTAGGTTAACTTAGCAACTAAAATATCATATCAACACAAATTAACACCATCATGGTGTTACCATGTCCCTTCATCAAATGACTAGGTACGCGCAGAAATCAGAAAAGTTTTGTTGTCCTTCAACATTTACAAGAAATGCAATAGAAGACAAAAGTCAAGTAAATTCAGCTATTACATAAACAGCCTAAACAGCTATTTTCAGAGAAAACAAAACAAGCCTCAAAACGAGTCAAAATAGGCTATACTTATACAGGCTTACACATAAAAAAGAATGTGGAAATGTGAGGACATTAAAAGTTAACTTCGTCAACCTTAAAATATTCTTCTATGTCATAAAAAAGATGTAAAAGTAACCAGTCCTGAGCTCTTTTTTAAAACGGCATTGGTCTAATTCTTTGGCATTGATGCTGAACTTATTAAACAATCTTAATGAAATATCATGGTAACTATTTTTACATTTACTTAACCTACGATAAGGCACGTCTAAAAGGAACTGATTACGTGTGTTGTGTTAAAAGTGTTTTATAATAGTAGGGATATAAGACGAGAGCTCGCCCCGTGGTGGTCGAAAACTCGGCCACAAGTATGTACTGTGCAAACTGCATTATAATTTCAACCCACGCTATAAATAAAACATGTGATTGAAATTTCTTAAATTTGTTTTGATTTTCTGTTTATATCTTGTTGTCACCAACATGGCAATACATAAGGCCCATGTCAATTTTTTATTAAAAAAACTAATTTTTTGTGCTTAATTTTGAGCCTATTTTAATTTATTAAAAGATTCTGCACATCTACAGGAAAATATCTTTCATTTGGTACATTCGTTTGGTTCATTCGGTGAACATTCATTATAGGCTTTTACAAATAATTATAGGTTTTATGGTTTTACCCTTACGCTTACTAGTTCCATTGCAGGGTTTCAACTCACTCACTTATCTATTACTGTATAGAGTGAAAATTAAAAAATGCACGTTATCAAGAAAAGCACTTTATAATTTTTTTATCTAAAGGTTTCTTTTTTTATCTATTGACATTTAAAGTTTCATAAAATCTCCACGTTAACGCAATATATTTGGTATTTTGTTTATTGATATACCATCTTGAACGAAATTCCGTCACAAACACAACGCACGTTATTTTTATAACTATTTTTTGCTGTAAATACATTTAGTTTTAGGGTCATTTTGCAATAGACAGCTCACTAAGCCTTTGGTAAATTTGGTCTTTCTAAAAAAATTGCAAAAATAAAAAATCTCTTGAGGTTTGTATAACTCCAAACAAACGTTCCCGATATATGAAATATACCTTTATATTATGTTTTTTTACAGATGCGTCCTTCTTGTGTCTATAAAACATTAAAATATTATCATATATCAATTTTTTTATATTTTTGATCATCCAAATCATGAACGATAATATATAACACCATATATATGTTATATTTAATATAACACCATATACATGTTATATTAAATATAACATATACGTATATATATATATATATGTGTGTGTGCGTGTGTGTGTGTATATATATATATATATATATTATATAAAACCATCTGCATGGTCAGGGACTACGGTCTGGAATTTTCAATTATCGAGAATCACTATATTGTTTATTTAGGTTTTCATTCCACTTCTCTTATTCTTACAATATTCCACAGGACTTGATGTGAATGTAAACTTGGTTCAAAATCTAATTTTTTATATCCTTCAATTAATTGTACTGTATTAGAGAGATTTGTGTTGCAATTAAACAAAATTGTAACATTTAAATTTATTTTCACGACCATAACACAGTACAATCGATAAAGCTATTTTGCTCGTGAAAAACCCCGTGATGGTCGTGAAATCACGAATTATTTAGCTCTGTTCTGGTGGTAGCCATACAACTCATTTTTGAGGAGACAAATTGGGTTTCTAGGTTAACTTAGCAACTAAAATATCATATCAACACAAATTAACACCATCATGGTGTTACCATGTCCCTTCATCAAATGACTAGGTACGCGCAGAAATCAGAAAAGTTTTGTTGTCCTTCAACATTTACAAGAAATGCAATAGAAGACAAAAGTCAAGTAAATTCAGCTATTACATAAACAGCCTAAACAGCTATTTTCAGAGAAAACAAAACAAGCCTCAAAACGAGTCAAAATAGGCTATACTTATACAGGCTTACACATAAAAAAGAATGTGGAAATGTGAGGACATTAAAAGTTAACTTCGTCAACCTTAAAATATTCTTCTATGTCATAAAAAAGATGTAAAAGTAACCAGTCCTGAGCTCTTTTTTAAAACGGCATTGGTCTAATTCTTTGGCATTGATGCTGAACTTATTAAACAATCTTAATGAAATATCATGGTAACTATTTTTACATTTACTTAACCTACGATAAGGCACGTCTAAAAGGAACTGATTACGTGTGTTGTGTGAATGATATTAAACCTATATACATGGGAATTAATATTTTTTTAAACCCTAAGTAAACACATAAATATGTAGGCCTACAGATTTATTACAGTCAAAATTCTATTTCTTCTGAACAATATCTTGTAATGCTCTTCAATTGGAGCTTTGTTTATAATTCTTACTACCTTCTTCTGGAGTAGTAACACTTCACTTATGTGACTACTATTTCCCCAAAGAATCAAGCCGTAGCTAACTATGGATTGGAAAAATGCAAAGTAGGCTACCCCTATGTAGGTTTCAGGTACACCACCCATAAGATTTCTAAGCAAACAGATTACTCTGGACAATCTTGCACAAACTAAAATCTATCTGAGGAGACCAGCTTAAACATTTATCAATTTTTATTCCTAGAACTGTAATGAAATTTTCATTGGTTACGTTCGGTGACTCTACTGAAATGTTTTTAAGACTACACAATAGATTTTGAGTTTTATTCTTATCAAGACAAAGACTATTAGCATTAAACCACATAATAAGCTGAATCAGTTATGAGCTCAGTTACTGACATGAGATCATAAAAGTTGGAATGAATGAACACTAAAAAAATTACTAATCACACTCACAGGAGAAAATTCTTTGAAAGGCAACTCTTTTACAGTACAGTAGTGTCAGGTTCAGGTTCTTTAACGTGCTTCCTGAACCTCTTAAAGAAAGTGGAGGAAGACACCGACAAATTTTGGAGAGTGGTCAAACGCCTACTAGTAGAACGAGCTCTCTACTCTATCAAAGATTTTTAAGTTTCCGAACAAATTAACACATACTGTTTCCCTGTATACAGATTTTATGTGCACAGTAAAGATATTTGATTCGATTTTATACCAATCTACTTCATCTGACACGGAACAGAAAATCTCACCATGTACTGATCCATGTACCGTTGCGGGTACTCCCTGCCCAGCGTGACCACAATCATTTGACGAGTACTGGCGGCATGCGCCATCAAATCTGATATTTCCTGCCAAGTTCCGGGAGTTAAAATTCCTGTGTTCTACATTCAAGACTTCCTCCCTCATCTACAGAACCTAAAGGGATATAAGTTTTGGAAGACGAAGACGTCTGATCCAGTAGTGGATAGCACAAACTGAATTCACTAGAGTTTCTGTTGTGTCCACATTGACTGGTATAGGATTTTTTTTAAATAAAAACACGAAACCTACTAGCCAAAATACAAAATGCATTTTCAACAACACGTCTTTCTCGGGATACTCGTTAATTGAGGCTTTTATACTGTCAGTCCTCTGTTTGAAAATGGTTTCAACACAATGGTGTCAGAAAAAACACGTCATCTGCTACACAAAGTCCATCTTGTGGCCAATTCAGGAGGTTTTGTTTGATTGCTATATTTAAAGTAGAGTTCTTAAACACTGTGCTGTCATCGGCACTGCCATCAATAACAAAGAACACAATACAGTACTGTAGTTCCCTTGTAGTTTAAACATCGATGTAAAATCAGGAGACCATTTAATTCTAAAATGCTAGCCATTCAAATCACCACAGCTGCGGGGAAATAAGATGCAGGATAGTCTCGAACCACTTTTGGATTTCATCCAACTTGCACTTTGTGTCAGGTACCTGTAATTAAGGGTTAATGAAATTAGGTAGGAAATTGACAAATATTGCTAATTGTAATATATTGCACATTTTTAAGCGTTAAAACTAACCAAAGTGCCTCTTGTTTTTAGGAAATCCTGCAGCTACTTATGGATGAAGAGGGACATGAATCTACAGACAATGACGACATTTCGGTAAAGAGCAATGCACAAATAGTGGAACCACCTACACACCCGTCAAGTCCCACCACCCTTGTGTCTAATTCACAGTTGCATTCTACAAAACGTTCATCCACCTCTATGGAATCACCACGGAAGGTATTGAAGATGCAGGGTAGTACAGAAACCCCCACTAGATTTGAAAGTGTAGTGGATAAATTGCACTCTTTAGCCAACCTGACCAGTGAAGATACTGAAGACCAATATGACAAATTTGGCCAACACATAGCGTGCCAGTTGCGACAACTCCCTGAGAGAAGTTTTATTTTACTGCAAAGTAAATTTCAAAACATCATTACCGAGGAGAGACTCAAAGCTTTGGATGGTAATAACTAACTGTGCACCACTCTCAGTAAAATACCACAGTTGATGATCCCAATATTAAGCACCTCTAACAGTTCGTCATGAAGACATACCGAGCAATCACAGAATCAAGAACTTGAAGCAAGACCATCAACACCCACCAACTTTAGATGTTCTCTCCAAAGCCCTGGTCACTAACTGCCCTTTAGTTGTTCACACAAACTATGACTAACCACAATAGATGACACTAAGGAATTAGAACAAAATTTACTTTGCTATTGTATAACTTCCTATCATTCAGTTTTCATTTACCTACAAATAATGCATTTAGTTTATATGGATTTGATTATTGTTAACGATATTCAAAACAATAAATAATATTAATAAATAAAATCTTGAATATTTCTTTACGCAATGCCCCACCGTAGACAAATCTATGGCCCTTAATTTTATATACATATATAAAACTTTCATTTTTTTTGCTTTTTAGCTTATTTTAATTTTAAAAGGGATTCTGCACATCTACAGGAAAATATATTTCTAACAGTATGCGTAGATTTTCCCTGCGATGCACACGAGCTGAGAAAAAATATTTCAAAGAAAGATGCTTGCCTATTATAAATATATAGATTTTAACTTGAAAACGACAGGAGTTTATCCACTCCCTGGAACGTTTTTCATGTTGACAAACAAGGTAACATTCACAGAAATCAATGTGGGCTTGTGCAGTAATTTTGTTAAATACTGTAATCAAATTTACAAAGACGTCTTTTTCTATTGGTAACCTTTTTCAGGGGTTTAGAAAGATGTTTGTCATTCAACACTAACCTAACCTAACTACCACAGCGCATTGTGAGTGGCGGCCCTCTTTTTGATAAGGTCCCAAACAGGATAACCTATACATATACAATAATACAACGGATAAAGTAGTCTACTTGCACTGTTCAAAGTCGACGAGCAACGTTTGCTGGCGCAGTGACACATGACACGGAGTAAAGAAGTGTTAACACCGCCACGGTGTATCAAAAGTAATAAAACGTGTCGCAATGGGTATTATGCGACATGGATCACGTCCTGTCGATGGTAGAAAGTGTGGCCAACATTATGCAAACATGAGATGATTATATTGTCATCGGTGCGACATAATCTGCTCCTGCCAATCACTGCCGTGTGCAACGTGAGGCAGACGGCAAAAACATCCACTTTCCAAACGTGCGTTTACTTTGCAGTATATGTCATATTCCAGTACCTACCTCGGTTTCTAAATTATTAATTATTGACACATTTTCCTTTTAACTGGTGAATTCCCGAGACACAAGTTTTGACGCATAGATACCGTAATACAATTACGGGGTTCTCTAGTACGTAAAATTTACTGTATTCTAGATAGGTACTGAAGTGCATTGTCCATGGAGGAGTTAATCTATTCGTGTCCACTAAGCCACGCCCCTTGTCCAACAATCGGCCTGGATACGAAAGTTCAAGGTTTAAGCAGATTTTGACCACGCTCGTGATTATAAAGTAGCAGCGCTGAAGGGCTGGAGGAAATAAAGATGAGGCCACTCAGATAAACTGTAATTGTGATTCCAAACATTCTAAGACTATGCGGTAGGTGACACGAACAAGATACCTAGCGCGGTGTCATAGGTCAAACCACAGACACCATTTTTGACCCTCAATGTTCAAAATTTCTTAATTTCTCTCTAGACAAAAAAAGATGTAGTATATCAAATTGTTTTTGTACGGATATTGGTAACGGAAAAAAATTCAAAATATTGTAATTTTAAAATTATCATGTTATTCTTATGGAGAATATTGTAAATTGTTGTTGTTTGCTTGTTCATGGATATATTTTGATCAAACTTGGAATTTTTTATTTTATACTAAACTATTAATATTTTACTAAAAAACTCATTTTATTAGTTTCCTTGTAGCATCAATCCTAGGTACTCGGTAAACCTAATGTTATTGAAATAGATTTAATTAAAAATCAATTCAAACAAATTAAAATTCGCTTAGTCGGCAGGTTTGCTACGGCGGGGGTATTTTTTTTCTTACGTCGTTTCTGTGTAAACAATACGCAATTTTGAACCATATTGAATCAAAGTCAGGAAATGTAGGTTTTTAATGATGGACTATCTTTAACACCTCTTGATTTTTTTAAACCTTCCTTCAATCATTAGATTAACCTTTTTACGTCAATCCAGCAAAACATGGTGGAACTGTTCTGCAGATTGTGTAATCGTAGGGCGACAGGAACACCTGCCACTTTGATTGTTTTTTTGCAGATTTCATTTGGATCGTCAGTACGAATATTGCATTAATATAATGGAGTATGTTTATGAAACATGGGATGGTGTGGACATTATAAACAGAAACTTGTAAGATTGTTCAGTTTTCCAGTAAGGGAATTTTCTGTTATTTTTACTATCGTCGTCATTATCTTAGAATGCCTAATTATTTGAGTCAAATGACAAAAAATGGCATCTGAGTCAAAAATCACCATTGCAGGGGATTGAATATTTTTTTTAGTTTTAAGTGAGCATCGGCCATACCCATTTAGCAACACAGACAATTTTATGGAAAAGAAGAATTTCGAATGACAACAAAAGTAAAGTAGGGGTATGATGTTGAATGAAATTGTGTGATAAGTATGTGATATATATTGTGTGAAATAAAAATTGTGTTATAAAAGTGTAGGATTGGTTTCAACTTAGGATAAGGCAAATTATGAATAACAAAGTGTGACATGTAAGGAGTTTAAAGAAACTGTACCAGGAGAGAATTTAAATATTGTAGCGTGGGATAAAATCAATGGTACTTTGACAACAAAGCCAGAGAGAAAGTGGGATTTAAAATATGATGAAGTGGGAGAAACAAATGGAAGCGTGTGGGTTGATATACAAATAAAGTAGGTAGGGGAAAAAACAAGAAAACGCATAGAGTACGGGTTTTAATAAAATATATAAAACCTACAGAAGTAGTGAATTCACCTGGTTGGACTTTTGCTAAATTCCCTTAAAATTAATTGTCAAAGTTATTTTCTATTTAAATATTATGAATTTTATTGAGTAAAGTTTTTCTTCTACAGGGAAGGTAATAAAAGGTACGTGATTTTTATTGAAATGTTTATAACTTAATATAAAAAACCAATTTGCCAGATTTGATCAAAATATATCCCTAAATAAGTAAACTAAAGTGTAATTTTAAATTTCGAGATTTCTGGATTTTTTGAGTGACTATTAGACGTACTACTACGTTTCAGTTTAAACAAATATTTGTTCTATTAAGCTATGTACAAAATAAGTTTTAAATGAATTATACATTGTGTTTTTGGGGGGTTGAAAAATGATAAACAACAATTTGTATCCAAAACGAAAAAGCAAATCGGTCCCGGGTCTAGGTCTAACCGTGAGACCTATGGTAATGGCTTATTTTCTCCCTATATAGATGATTTTATAAAAGTGGGGTTTAGTTGTCAAAATCTAAAATGAATCGTCATTTAAAACGTGTGATAACGTCATATGACAGACAATGGGGGAGTTCTATTGTTGAGAGGAAACCTTCCACCCAGACACTCCGGCGCCGAAGTGATAAGGAGAGACCATGACCTTGGAGGGGGGGGGGGAGGGGAGAGTGCTCAGACCGAGGAGGAGGATGGAGAGTAGAGACAGAACGTCATCGACCATCGACCACCTAGGACCCTGGACCCTGGACACTGGACATGATCAAGGTGAGTGAAGGAAATGGAGGTGGAGGAAGTGTAAAAGAAATTGAAATCTTTCGGGATAACCTGTGGAGTAATTGGGGGTTAGCTGGGTTATTAAGGGTTGAGATGTAGGTAAATATGTTGGTAGTATAACAGGAATACAGGAAACCCTTTGAATTAATGGGTTGAGCTCTAGGAGAATATGTTGGGAGGGTAAAAGAAAGTATCCACACTGCTTAAAAACTCTGGAGTCATTGTGGGTTAGCAAAATAAGTAACGGGTGAAGTCCTTAGTAATGGTTTTAGAAGTGCAAAGATAGGATCTACAATTACAAACTGTGGAGTCATTAGGGTTAGCTAAATAATTATTGAATTAAGTTTTAGGTAAAGGTTTTGGAAGTGTAAAAGATAGGATCCACTCTGCTGACAAAATCTGAATTAATTTAGGGTTAGCTGAGATAATGAACGGGTTAAGTTCTTTGGTAAACTGGTAAAGTCGTTAGAAATGTAAAAGGAAGGGAAGGATCCACACTGCTTAAACATCTAGGGAAATTTATTATTAGCTGGATAATTAACGGGTTGAGTCCTAGGAAGGCATAAATGGGATGGAAGTGTAAAAAAGGATTAACACTGCAACAAATCTGGAGACAATGAGCGTTAGCTGAATAATTAACGGGTTAAATTCTAGTTCAATAAGTTATGAGTGTAAAAGAAGCAAACACCACTGCGGAAAACCCTCTGGAGTAATGAAAGGGTTAACTCAGTATAGTTCATGGAGTCTTTTGCAGAAGGTCCCTGAATTTCTTTGGAATTCTGTAAGCTCAGATACCTGTAAATTGTTGTAAGATGACATTAATCATTGGGCTATAATATAATGATGCTATAACAAAATATGATAGTGTCAAGATCAGGGGTTTGACAATACGTAGAGGATTTTTTATGTTTGTAGTAAGTAAAGAATATAATAATGATACAAATAGTTTCAGACAAATCTGTTTAGAGATTTTTTAATCATTACACCTGTAAACTTGCGTTTTTAGGATATTTAGAGACATATAAAACAATTTTTTTAATTGATGAAAAAATAATTTTACTGTACAAAAAATCACGTTTCATTTTCTTGAGGTGGGTCAAACCCCTAACCCCCTCCCTCTTTAGCCACTGTAGTTAAACCGTCGTTTAATAACGACTTGGAAGAACTCGAAGTAACTTCAATAATGGTTATTCATAAACAGAACAGAAGTGCACATTTTGCGTATAGGCATGACTTCAGTTAACACAGGTTTATTTATAGTCAATAGTTGTGCCGACTACGCTTTGATGTGTCATATATCGGATAAGGTTAGGGTTGCATAAGTTGCATAGTTATTGGTCCATAAGTTACCATGATAATGCATTAACCATAATTACGTTTGATGCAACTATTGTTTTGATAAAATCGTTAATTTTAATTTGTTAACAATCGGACAAACACGAATTGTCGTGTGTATACAATATAGTTGTTTGTGTAACAAGTGTGCGAAGTGGCACTTTGCTGCACTTGAGAGAAATGTTTACACATGTTTCTCGAGTGCATCAAAGGAACTTTGCACTCGTGTTACACATTATATTTTTCCTACAGTTACCATCAAATTGTCTTTCAAACACTGTCAACACTGTACAACACGTGTTTAGGTTAGGTTAAATACAAACATTGAACGATATTGGAAACGCTGCACCAGCTAATCGTAGTCATAGTAAGTGTCCCCAACTTATTTTCAAGCGTACACGGATTACATGCACAATAAAAGCACGCTACTTTGTGTTGTTTGGTTGGAATACTGGAGTGCGGCAAAAAAGTGTGTGGAAAATGTAAGTAAATGCAGCAACTTTCTGTACTATAATCAGTGCAATGAAGCCCACTTTGTCAGGTGACTGTAGGAAATAATATATTTCGTACTTAGAGCCGAAAATGAGGTTTTGCTGGCTCGAGATAGTTTTTATGATCGAGAGCTGTAAAACCATTATTTAGTATTCACCACAATATAACGCACACTGATAGACAACACAACTACAACTTTAAGGTTATGTGAAGAAATAATTTGAGGCATCAGCAAAAATAATAATAAATAGTTGCTAGGCAGCGATAACAATAAAACAATTCTATTGCAATGCTATGGATGTTTGTGTATTTAATATGCATTCATGTTTAAGAAAGTAAGTGGGCAGCTGTTTTTTCGGCTCTAGGGATGTTAAAACCTGCTAGGTCCCCAAATAACGATGACAGCTGGCATGGCCAGCAAAACGTAACTTTCAGCCACCAATTAACGTATGTAAAACAGCTAAAAACATAATAGTGCGATGAAACCTTTTTTTTCTTTATTTAATTTATAATATGTTCAAAAGTTGAACAATGAACAAATACTTTATACTTTATACTTTCTTATGAAATGAAATAACAATAAACATTAAAAGTTAACTCGAAGAACATGAGCTAGTATTGACCACTGTCAACACTAGCTAACAAAGAGAATTTTGATAGGAAAAATATTGTTTAAATATCCATTTAAACAAGTACGAGTACTTATAACTGTTGTATGTATTGATTTGTTGTTGGATCAATCAATTTTACGTCTTAGCATAATTTATATCTCCTGTACCTTAGAATAATAGCCTATTACGATTATTTTATAAAGAATTGTTTGATTATTTGAAACTAAAAGGTCTGGATCTGGCCGTCTAGAGGAGGCTATACCAAAGCGTATTGAAGTTGCGCCGCAGCATCGCCCAATGTTGCATTGTTGAACACACGGAAGTCATGCAGAAGCGATTAATTTCGTCAGCACTTTTGTTTTTATCGTGGCCACGCCTGACGCCCGGCCGAGGCGATGACCTTTGTTACTCACGGAAAATCTTCGAGCTATTGTGAGTTTGTATATAGTCTTCCAAGTATCTTCTAGCATTGTTCAAACACAGTTCACACCAAAACATAAGTTACGAGAGTAAATGAGACCATCAAGCTAAACTTAAGCTAGTTTGAACTACAGGGTAACAATATTTTTATAAAGGTTTTCAAACCGATGATGTTCATAATTGTAGTAAGCCCCAATCTAAATATTATTCTAAAGGAAAAGGCTAATTATACTTTCTAATTACTTTTATAAGGTTCCAAATGTGACTATTAAGTTTGGGTCAAAGTCATCTAGTCGAGTTCTGTAATCTTTGTCAGGATAGCTGAGGTATTCAGATGCCCAACTCCTGATAAGGCTGACAGAGATGGAGAGATTCAGTCGGAAGATGTCCAAGAGGAGAGAACTCGTCTTGATGAAGTGTCCAGGGTTGGAAGTGTCTTCATTGTTTCTGAATACACTAACCTGGAAGCCGACCAGGGCCATAACAAACTGACCAGTTAGTTTGTATTCTTCAGTCGTCTGCTTTTAACAAATCCTTCACAAAGGATCTATTTTTGTAGAATTTAGATCTAGGTCTAATGGTTTTTATAAATAGCTTTTGAAAATATTAGGCACAATTATTGTTTATATTCGTAAATGATTGACATTTTCTTAAAGAGTTTTTATTGTAAAATGTGCTCTATTGTGTAAATTATAATAGCCTCAAAGATAAGACCATGGAAGAATGCACTCTCCAATGATGATTTCGTGGGGCTAACTGAATCAAATGTGATTAGTATATGTACGCCATCTATTCGTTTTTATATGATAATCTGATTCATATTTATGATTTAGGATAGACCATGTGGTTTCACATTTTTGACGTGACAGAAACCAAATAGAATGCTCGTGACAATGTACAGTATAGTTAGAACCTTTGAAGAACTTAATCTTAAATTCACATATATCCTATTCATAGTTTAAAACTAGTAAAAACGTAAACAGCCTAAATCATTTGAGGCAAATAATCAACAAACTTTCTTGTGTATTTTAACATAATCTGTGTTATGTAATCAGTCTTATATAAAAAATAATATAAGCTAAATCGTTGCTCCAGAAAGTTCCAAGGTGTAGAACATATCTGGATTGCATTGATGGCCAGCTGTTCTCATATTCTATCTGAAGCACCTCAAATTAATTCTAGTAAAACCTAAAGATACATTTTAACATTTTAAATGTTTTGATATTTAGTCAATATCCAATGTAAATTAATGGTTTTCATTGAATATTGGATACATTTTATCCTGACATAGTTGATGGGTCATAACAGTTGCCATAGCTCACAATAAGTTACTCCACTAGTTTAACTTGGTAAAAAGTTGTTGTATTCAACTGAAATTAGTAATTTAGATCAGCACAATCTGTCGGTGGCTCACATCAACAACGACGATTTTGATTTACAAACTGGTGACAGCTTTAACATATCGACGGAATGTCTAGTATCAATATTAAAAGCTTTCGCCAAAATTAAGAAATAAATCTACATTGAAACCCTTGCTCTACAACTGTTTATTTTAATGGTAAACTAAATCATTAAACCTCCCCCAAACGTAGTAACTTCAAAGATACCCAATTTTAGACTGGGACCTAGCTGACGCATCAATGGCCAGTTCCATGAGCCAGAACTCACGAACAATCATGTTGCATCACACCTCGGGCAAGACAAAACCAGAAGTTTGGGTGGAGTCTTCATGCCAAGGATGCCGAATCAGGTCAGCCCATCTGACATTGTGATGGTCCATAGCCGCTGGAGTGCAGCCCATAGTGACCTTTGCTTGGGCCGTCGGGCGTGTCGATGGAAGGCAAGAAACGCATTCTCACCAGGGGAAAGTGCTTCGTGTCTTGAATTCTGACGTCTTCAATGCGAGTTGTCAGCTGATCGAGATTATCTCGGTTTGTGCAACAGATATAAAATCGGATGAAATTACACGTGCGGATTGACATTTGAATATTCCTCGGCGTAATCAGAATGATGTGGAGGTTTTGAGTGGTGTTTGTCTGGGTTAGAGCAACTAGGATGCACTTTAAGCCTTCTAATAGCGTGTGTTTTCATTTTAAACTAATCGCTTTAATTGTGCTTTGCTGAGGAGATTAA